CTTTTATAATTTTAAGAATCGGTTCGCGAGAACAGGTGCAAACCGGTAGGGTGCCAACAATGTGTAAATGTGTAAGTTGTAATTAATTTCTGTTTTAACTTTAAAAAGCCTGTCTCTTCCCCCATTTTGTTCTTCTTATCAATGTTTGTCTCCTTGCCTTTCAAAAGGGCGAAATAATTTCGACTACGTTTTTCACACCGCGTACTCTTTTGGCGGTGTTTTTTTATTATTATTATTAAATGTTCATCCAATAACAGGTCCAAGAGCCACTCAAGATAGAGGGTTACTGAATGAAGTTGTTGCATGGACGGACGTAAAATAGGGAAGTAAGTGCAAATTATGCGGATATGTAGGCCAGGTAACAGGTTGACCGTAGACTTAAAGAGATCAAGATCGCAGTGATCGGGGAAGCAACGTTTTACGGCATTATTTTTTTTAATCATTTCACGCCAAGCAGGGTAATAAAGCCACTGTGTAGATTAAAGCGTTTGCACGCTTCCCTGCTTAACCATCTGATATGAAGCAGACTGCTCGGTCTTCACTGGGTTCCTCTCGACAATACTTTTTTTTAAGCTTGGGATTATCGCAAGCCAGCTAGTCTGATTGCTCATAAATATTGAGTAGTGTGTTTGATCCTCACTAAGTGCACGGTTACTAGTGACCTTGTGTTAAAACTAACCTAATCTTATTAGATAACATACTTTTCTCATCTTAGGATAACTGTAAGTTGGCTAGTATGAATTGCCATAATTATTGAGTAATAGACAGGATATGTAAACAACAACGATGTTTTAGAAAAAATGAAAACAAAAAAGGACACTGATATTTAACACCAGAAGGAAACAATGTTGTTCTTGATATATAAAAGTTTATATAGCGTTTTCTCAAATATACAGCGTGTATCAAAAATACTTTTACACACTTTGGGGTCAGGTTCCTCACACCAAAACAAGGACAAATGTTCAAACAAACATATGTCCTTCTCTTTTGTATTTTAAAGTTTAAGGTAGACGCTGTTAAATATACAATGCAAGATACTATCCAAAAATACTTTTACAAACTTTGGGCGGTTGTTCCTGATACAAAAACAAGGTAAAATGTCCATAAAAACATCGGCCATCGTTGTACTGCAACTTATAACAAATGTTCAAAATGTCCTCCGCTTGCTTCTACACAGGAATGCACCCGTCGGATCATTGACTAGCGGACCCTTTCAAATACTTCTATCCGGTACCGAATAGGTGCGGCAGACCACCATGGCACGTTGATGAATTGTCCCTGCCTTATTAATATCTGCTGCATGAATCAATTGTTTTTAGGTGGTCCCACTTTCTTTAAACTTAACAGAAAAACGAGGGATTTGAAGACATATGTTTATATGAACTTTTGACCTTAGTTTGGTGTGAGGAGCCTTTGTAAAACTATTTTTGATACACCCTACTTATATACAGGGTGGCAATAAGGTCACTATGCAGTTACTTACAATAACCATTACGACAAAGCAATTAATCAACAGTCCACAAAATTATGATTAAAATGGTTCTGGTTAATTCTGGTTAATAACAATTAAATGCTTTGGTAAACATTAGTAAGTTAATTACCAATACTGTTCAAACTGCAAGCCACCTGGTTCAATGCTTTGCCTTTTTATTATAAATAACTGTATAGTAACTTTATTGGCACTCTGTATGTGTATACAACATAATGAGGAAATATCCAAATGTTGGACAGTTTTTGTCTTGAAACTAAAGCCATTATACGAAGCTTGGAACGGCTCATGATAAAACATAATAGACATGCGTTGTCTGTTATATTTAACAATATATATCTGAATATATATATATATATATATATATATATATATATATATATATATATATATCTTAAATTAAACATATACATACATACACACACACATACATATATATATATGAATCTTAAATTAAACATATACATACATACACACACACACACACACACACACACATATATATATATATATATATATATATATATATATATATTAATCTTAAATTAAACTTAAAATTTAAAGTTTAGTTAAACTAAACTTTAAATCTTAAGTTTAATGTAAGATTTAGGTTTTTGTTTCGAAACATGGTAATTTCTGTGTCACGATGAATACATATATTTAAATTTTTGTGTGTGTGTGTGTGTGTGTGTGTGTGTGTGTGTGTGTGTGTGTGTGTGTGTTGTTGGTAATAAAATATACTTTTAAGGTATGCTATATTTATGGGTAAAGGTGCTCAATATCCGAGATAGAGCGTATGTAAATATAAACAAAAAGAACAGTATAAATAAACGCATTGAAACATAGCCGTTACCGCCCACCCAATAACCGTTAGGATAATACACGAAACCTAGGTACCCATAATGCATCATTCGCAAGCATTTCTAAAGAGTTGAGCCCAAACAGAGCACAGATGGCCTGAAGTTTGATTTGAAGCATGAAACAGACTGTCACCATTTGAACCTTTGAATGTCAAAATCTGACCAAATGATTCAGCATGTATTTTTTTTTTTTACTATTTTTGGAAAATACTCTCTGATCGAACGGAGAACATTAGAACATTTTGTTGTTCCGCTGTATAAATAGCTGCATTCATAAGAAATAAAAACAAAAAAAAAAAGGAAGGCTTTCAGTTATCGTGTAACGTTAAATATATACGGAAGAAATCATATAAAGCAATAAATTTTACCGACGACCTTCAAGACCTGTTTCCATCCAGGCAACACATGGTAGCGTTGCTTGTAACCTAAGAAAAAAATAGTTTGTTGACGCTACTGGCAGATTTATTTGAATTCCTCCTGTCTCTAAGCCATGTCACATCTAATTTAAAGAGATAAATCGTGTTAACTACTGAGACGTTTAAAATCATTCTACAGAAAATCTATTTAAAATCGTCCTTAAAATCGTGCTGTTATCTTACGTTACTCCCTCCCCTCTGATTTGTTAAGGATGTGTTTCAAGACTCCTTGGGGATTTCTGAAACTGTGGATAGTCTTCTACTTCTGTGTGCCGAGTTGCTTCTGGATGTTGGCGATCATGGCTCTCCACAGCATCCTGCTCTTAATAATTTCTGCCTTTTTATCTTTCCTAAACCCTATTCTACTATCCATTTATACAAGCTCGTTCTTTTTCTTCTTCTATGTTCCGTGTTCCTTTAGGACGTTGGCAATTATGGCTCTCCACAACATCCTTTTCCTTGGTAGATTTAAATAAATTTAGTCTTTTTGTTATCTCTCCTCGGCCCTGTCGAACCATCCATTTATAAAAACTCGTTCTTCTTCTTCTTCTTCTTCTATGGGTTGTGTTCCTTCAGGACGTTGTTAATTATGGCTCTCCCCAACATCCTTCTCCTTTGTAGCTTTAAATAAATTTAGTCTTTTTGTTATCTCTCCTCGACCCTGTCGAACCATCCATTTATAAAAACTCGTTCTTCTTCTTCTATGTTCCGTTTTCCATCAGGAGCTTGGCGATCATGGTTCTCCACAACCTCTCCTTTGAAGCTCTTAATTTGTTCTTTTTGTTATCTCTCCTAAATCTTGTTCTGCCAGCCATTTACTCAAGCTCGCTAGATAGGTTCTGTATCAAATTTTCGAAGCTCTTTTTCCTCATTGTACCCTAGAAATTTCAACTAACTCTTCCTGATATCTCTTTTTTGTTTCCATTTTCTCTAAAACATTGCCGTTGTTCCGATGTACGGTCCATGGTATTCTCAGCATCCTTCTGTAGGACCACATTTCTGCTAATTCAAGTCTCTGCGAGGAGATTGTCCTGCCATACAGGAGGACTCTTTTCTTTGTTTCTAACAAAAATTTCCCGTTTCTTAATATTCTGCTTATCTTTTGGAAGGAATTCTGTCCATATCCCAATGTGCTTTTGGATTTCAATGTCGCACTTTCCATCTCTTCAAAAACTTCATAGATATTTAAATCTTTGTCCTTGTTTCATTTTGGTATCTCCAATTTGTAATTTGCGTGTTGTGCTGTTTTTGTTGCCGCAGAATGATATTCTTTAAAGCAAATAACCCCCAAGCAAGGCGGGAGTGTCACTAGCACGCGAGGGGTTACAAACACTGAGAGTAAAAAGGAGTGTTTGGGAAAAGGATAAAGAGAAGGACGGGGATCAAGGTCAAGACATCAGAAGATGTCGATTGACATTACATTTGAATATTTGAAGGCTATAGCTATCAGGGAAGCAAGTGATAAGAAGGGAGTTCCACTAACGAGAGGTGCGAGATAAAAAGCTGTTGGAGTAGAAGAGATGGCCACATTTAGCCGTTTCGAAAGTGAAAAGGTGGGGCCGAGATGCCAACCTAGTAGCACGCTTAAATTCATGAAGTTTGGAAACCAGTGGAAGTATCTTGTCACTCATATTAACGTTGCTCTCTCTCTCTCTCTCTCTCTCTCTCTCTCTCTCTCTCTCTCTCTCTCTCTCTGTGTGTGTGTTCGGAGATAAAAGAGAACTTCAACAAAGGTAATTCTACATTTACCTATTTGTTCAACACTTTGACGTGTATACCGTCTAACTAGACACTGGGTGACGTTGCAGTCATGAAAGGAACATGTCTCCATTCTTCGACGTGTAAGACTCGACTCCCCGAAAAAAACTTTATCTATCTAATCATTCCCACGCTCGTTCAGCCAATCACAATCGACTTTTTTTTTGTCCTGTACCTTGACCTCAAAGGTCAAACTGAGGAAGTCAGGGCAGAACACACTTCTCTAAAAAAAAAAAAACAATAATCTAATAACATGTAACAAACGGGTGTGAACTGAAATAAAAACAAATTTCTGTCATTTCCATGACATTTGAAGCGTTAAACATTGCTTCTAATCCAACATAAATAATACTTATTAATTTGACAGGTTTTACTTACTTGGCAAGATTCGAACCCTTTTATTGGTCAGTGTGCATCGGAAGGCATCCATAAAACCTTTGCGAAAGTTCTCGTTAAAACCACAGTAGAGAATCGGATTCAAAGAACTGTTGAGGTAGGCAACGTACAGCGCCACGTAGCGGAGGGTTTCAATAAAGGCGGGAAACTGAGAAAGGAAAAAGGTATTTTTAAAAAAAAGACGAGTAAAAGAAACGAAAAAAAAGGAAATCATTTTAGCGATTTGGTTATTGGGGTTATGTTTGGTTTATTAACATCAGAAAATTCAAATTGATTGCTCACCTTTTATAGACTTTTCTTTTATATTTAAAATCTGCACAATACAACAGATAGATAGATAGATAGATAGATAGATAGATAGATAATGAAGAGACTGATGGAACATCAAGTATAGATAGATAGATAGATAGATAGATAGATAGATAGATAGATAGATAATGAAGAGACTGATGGAACATCAAGTATAGATAGATAGATAGATAGATAGATAGATAGATAGATAGATAATGAAGAGACTGATGGAACTTATCAAGTATAGATATGAATAGATATGAATAGACTTAGATAGATAATGAAGTGACTGATGAAACTTATCAAGTATAGAGAGATAGATATGAAGAGACTTAGATAGATATGAAGAGACTTAGATAGATATGAAGAGATTTAGATAGATAGATAGATATGAAGAGATTTAGATTGATAGATAGATAGATAGATAATGAAGAGACTGATGGAACTTATCAAGGATAGATAGATGAATGAATGAATGAATAGATAGATAGATAGATAATGAAGAGACTGATGGAACTTATCAAGGATAGATAGATAGATAGATAGATAGATAGATAGATAGATAGATAGATAGATAGATAATGAAGAGACTGATGGAACTTATCAAGGATAGATAGATAGATAGATAGATAGATAGATAGATAGATAGATAGATAATGAAGAGACTGATGGAACTTATCAAGGATAGATAGATAGATAGATAGATAGATAGATAGATAGATAGATAGGGAATATATTCACATAAGATTTGGGTTACATGAAGTAAAATTAAATCTTAAACATAATCATATATATTTCATATCAATAGAAGCTTACTCCTAAAATTAAATCCAATCTCCTGTTTCCTGGCAACCAGTTCTATTATTGTCCTCTATGTTTCTTGCACTGTCAGTAACCCCTTGCATGTTACTGGTTTTATTGCATAGGTTTGAAGTGAAATGGTTAAAAAGAAAAAAATCTAAAAGAAAAAAAGCGATATCTGCTCATTGTTTGAAAAAGGAATCGGTCTAATAAGTATACCCTGATGACTGCGGCAGGATATCGATAAAACTATATATTCTTTAATATTATCCACGCGCAAAAATTCTCGATATGAAAACAGGCACTTACCTGCTTTTGAGAACGGAAGAGTCCCCAAAATGAAAGTATCTGTTGTGGTGACCAGCAGATGATGAATACAATTAGAACGATAATTAGCATTTTTATCACCTGGAAATAAAAAAAAAAGATCAGGTACGAAAGTGATCTGTTTGAACAGAAGTGTAAACACACAACGCGATCTTTGCTCAAGCTTTCCGCCAGGCCAATGATTACCCGAGTTGCATTTCAATCCTCGATCTCGTCAGTGTTCGCCAAAACCTGGGAAAGGGCGCGATGCACGCTCACAAGGTAAAAACACGAAAGAAAGAAAATGTCATGTCATGAAATTAAGAACACGAAGGCTGTTTCTCATATTATATGTAAGTGATTTATTCAGGGCTTCACCTACTCATCCGGGTGGGTGGGTAGGTAGGTGATTTTTGATAACTTTGTTAAATAATAATTTAGCAGACTATTATTTTCAGGAAGAAGTTTATCTCTGCTCTGATTTCCTAAGGTTGACCTTAGGGATCAGATGCAAGACAAAATAAGGAAGTCGATTCTGATTGGCTGAACTAGCGTGGAAATGATAGAGATATAATAAAGTTTTTCAGTGAGTTGGTTCTTACACGTCAAAGAATGTAGATGTGATCTCTTTCATGTCTGAAACGGCTTCCCGGTGACGGAGAGCGACCCCACTGGATTGTTAGAAAATGTAGACGTCGACGACATTAATAAAGGTAGTCAAGTTAAAAATTTCCTGTGCTGAAGTTCTTTTATCTCTGGACCCAAAATAACTAGCGATCACCGGCCGAGAGACAAGAATCCAACATTATCATCTAATTGACGCCGTCACTCAAAACCACCGCGCCCGAGAGCTATGCAACATTGGCTCAACTAGGCGCCGCTGACCAGGATCGCCCATCCAGCACGAGAGAGAAGATATACAACAGCTTGCGAAGTTGTATATGCGAAAAAGAGGCGACAGAGTCTAATATAAATAATCCCTAACAAGACCTCGTGAACGATTTTGAACTTAAAACTGGAGTGTAATGAGCGTGTAGCTCCAATCCAGGTGTGGCAGCAATATTCTATTTTTGATCTAATCAGACTCTTGTAAAGATAAATAATGGTAGAAAAAGTCAGGTTATTCCAGGAGCGATAAAATAAACCAACCATCTTTCCATCACCTTTGACGTATATATTTGTTGTGAGACCGTAACATACCTACAACATGGACTCTTCCAGGACTATATAAAGTATGCGATATAACACTCTAGGAGAAGAGGAGGAAAGAGAGAGAGAGAGAGAGAGAATTCTAATACCGTAGTATCAGCCACGTACGACTACCAATATTGGATACTAGCACATAGTAAGCTCCGCTTACTATGTGCTAGTAACCTTTTTATTTAATTTTTATTTGTAACCTTTTTATTTAATATATCTTTATGACCTCTAATCCGTGTTCCGTGTTTTCCTTCCGTGGTCCCAACTTTGGGTCCACATCAATATTCATATATGAGTTTCGCTTGAGACACAACAGACGTTCAAATCATGAAGCCACATTGAGGGAGCAGTCGTATATCATAATTGGAAAAAAAAACTTAGTATGTGATCAGTGATGATGAAATGATACTAGTTTGGATTTTGAAATATTGAATGTTATAAGCGGAAGCGGAAGCAGTAGAAACAGGAAGTAAGTGTAGAAACATTGCCGACTTTGTGTACGGCATGCAATACAAACCTTTCGTTTGGATTTCTCCTGAGCCAATGCAGTCGACATGATTGCCACTCCGGGAGCCTTTCGTTTTAGTAACGTCCAAACAATAATTGAATAGGCGAGAATCATAACTAGGATTGGGACAAAGTACAAAACAAATACGAACATTGTGTAGTAGACTTTCCTTTCGGGTTGGTCCACTTCACAGCGGTTATTTACATATGTTGTCGGCCATACTTCGTCGCAGTAAATCTCGTGTCGATTCGCCCAACGGAATTCGGTTTGGCGACGTACAATCAACTGGGGTATAGCAACCCCTATTGAGATTAACCATGTCACTGTGATGATTATGCCTGCACGGGTCGTCGTCATGCGCGCCCTCAGTGGGAAAACGATCGCTATAAAACGGTCTCCAGATATGATGGTCAAGCTTAACACGCTGGACGTGACAGCAACCACTGTAAAAAAAAAATTAATAATTGAGAAAAAAAAATAGATAAAACGAAACAATTTTTAAAAAGTTTTAGCGATAAAGATATAGCAGCCATTAAAAGCTTATGTGATCCATTATTGGGGCTACACAATCACAAATAACCGTACCAAATAATCGGAGACCGCATCATTACAGGAGTTCCAAAAGCAGTGACAGCTAAAATGGATAGCACATGTAACTGGAAGAAAATTAATGACATAACCAAGATCTTGACTTTCCATACCACCTCGAACAAAAGGTTAGGAAGGAAACCGCGATCAATACTGAAAATCCTTAACAAATAACTTTATTCAAATTCTTTGACCAAACTTGTATAAACGAAAATATTTAGTTGACTTCAGAAAGCTGTTTTCCATCAAAATTGTTTTAATAGAAAGATTTTATAATTTTCAACATACGCTGAATGCTTTATTAAGAAAAGCTGTATAAAGAAAAAATCTAAGAAAAATACGTATAAAGAAAAGGGTAATATATATATATATATATATATATATATATATATATATATATATATATGTATGTATGTATGTATGTATGTATGTATGTATTAGTAAGTTCGTCTTGTATAGCCAGCTTGACAGTTGAGAAAGGAGGGTATAAAGACAATTTAAAGAGTAACCTCTCAGTTGTTAATGTGCTTTATACTAACTTGAAGCAAGTTGTCCTGGATAGAAATAACTGGAGATATTTGTGCCAAAGTGATAACAAAAAATTTTAAATCAGTTGTATTGACTGGCTAAGAGACGAAAGACAATGGCGAACAGCGTCAGCAAAGTTTCCTGTTGCTATGTCCCAAGAACCTAACTTTTGAACAATATGGATTTTTATGCAAGTCACTAGCGGGACTGAAGTATCACATACAACACAAACATAAAAACTGAATGAGTATGATCCTCATGCGTCAAAATCAACAGGAGAGTCCATCATATATATATATATATATATATATATATATATATATATATATATATATAAAAAAACAGACCACTTTAACGTACCATTATAATAATTTATTTCATCAGTCCTTTTAAAGGATGCCGGATCATCAGATAGCACTTCCAAAAATGAAATGAAACGAAAAATGAAATTAAAATTGATGGGTAGTGTAAGTTTTTGTAATTTAATAGAGAGTGTAAAAGAAGTAGTTAAAGAGACATGGTAGATTATAGGGAGGGATTAATTTCCTATCTCTCTCTCAAGCATACTTTATATTGGGGAGGAGGAGTGACCAGACCTTGACCTATTTAGACGGTTAACTTAACGGAAGTGATATATTGAAATGGGAGGGGAGTAGGGAGAAAAGTAAAAGGCAAAAGAAAGAAGAGGGAGAGCGAGAGGCAAGTTAAGAAAAAGAGGCTGTAATTGGGTATATATATATATATATATATATATATATATATATATACCGAATATCTTGAGGCTCATGGCTACTCTTTCATGTGCTTCCGTCTTTTGTTACTAAACTCTGTTAGCTATTTCTTTTTCCTTTATCGATACCCCCTCCTCTCAGGACTGCAGTATATCAGACATAATAGCTGACAGTATAGAAAAGGCACTTTCTCTTCATCCATCTGCAGACATCTTAATCTTTGGTGACTTTAATGCGCACCATGACACCTGGCTTAAGCATTCTAAACGTACTGATGTTGCCGGTATTCAGACATTACATTTTTCCATTACTCAAATCGTGGACTTCCCTACTCGTTTCACTAGCCAAACCGAGCAAGAGGCTTCTCTGCATGATTTATTTCTTACCTCCTTTTCCTCGCTCTTGCCGAGCTTGGCAACACTACCCTGTTGGTAACTCGGGCCACTCTGTGGTAGCTATTAATATTTCGTTCCACTCATCTATTAAAGAGGAACCCCATATACATGAAACCTGTTTCCCTTACCAGTATGCTGATTGGGACTCACTCTGTGATTTTATTCGCGACGCCCCATGGACTGACATCTTTAACCTCCCAATTGAAAATTGCGCCAATATGATTTCTTCTCGGGTCAAATCCGGTATGGACGCCTTCATCCCTACTCAGAAATACCAGAAACCTCTCAATCCTCTCCATAGTTCACACCAGCTTTCTCGGCCGTTATAGCACACACGAACCATTGTTTTCGACTATACCAGCGTGACAGTTCTCGTCACAACAGGTGCCTATTCCATGCTGCTCGTAATAAATGTAAGCGAGTCCTCGAAGAAGCTAAGTCCCTGTTTGCCGAGAGAATGAGGCAGCGCATAGCCTCTGAAAACTTTGACTCTCGCGATATCTGTCGACTCTGTAATAAGGCATAATAAAGGTCTCTATTCCCCTCTTTCAATCATTTTGATGTGTTATCATCCTTTGCTAATAAATCTGAATGCTTTGCCCGTAAATTCCCCCTCAAACTCTACTCGTGACTCATCTAGATTATCTCTGCCTAAGTTCCCACTTAGAACTGAATCTCTTGAGTGACATGCATATAACTCTTCCATAGTTTCTGCAACCAGCTCAAAGCATATGGAATCGATGGTATCCCTGTAATAGTCATTAAGAAGTGTGCTCCCGAACTGACTCCTGTTCACTGTAAACTGTATGATAAATGCATCGCTTTCCTGCCTACTGGAAGTCATCGTCTGTTGTTCCAGTTTTTAAGAACTCTGGTGAACCGCCCGACCCTTCCAACTATCTTTTTGGAAAACTCCTAGAGGCCCTAATCAATGCTGAATGGGTTCATCATTTATCGCAGGGCTTTTTCTCAGGCAAGCAATATGGCTTTCGTTTCTCCAGGCCAACTGCTGATGTATTGACGATAATCGCTGAAAGAGTCTATCATACTCTAGATAAAAACGTTGAAGCCCGGGCTGCAGCATTGAACATCTCGAAAGCCTTTGACAGCGTCTGGCATATAAGTCTTCTCCACAAGCAGAAAAGTTATTGTCATGGGTCCTTACCTATAACTACAGAATGAACTCTTCCTAACACTATGTATACTGCGCCTCTCAAGAGAGAGGGACGAATCAAGCTGAGCTTCTCGACTTGACGGTCGAACTCTCTGCCTCTAAGCAGAGAGGAAGCCGGACGAGGCTCCGCCGAAGGGCAGAGTCTCGTTCGGGGAAGTTGACCAACCCGATCCCGTTTATACGGGTTCTACGGGCATTTTTTGGCCGAGCCTACGGGCTCGGGAAACCCACGTTAAACTCGGCCTTGTGCCACATGCAACCCTCGTGGTGGGGTGGGGGCTAGATACCGAATCGAGTCGAGCTTCTCGGCTTGACGGTCGAACTCTCTGCCTCTGAGCAGAGAGGAACCCGGACGAGGCTCCGCCGAAGGGTAGAGCTTCGTTCGGGGAGGTTGACCAACCCGATTCTGTTTTTACAGTTTTTACGGGCATTTTTCGGCCGAGCCTACGGGCTCGGAAATCCCGCGTAAAACTTGGCCTTGTGTCACATTTTTCCCTCGTGAGGGGGGAAGTAAATATCGAATCGAGTCGAGCCGATAGTAGTTCACTCCAAACTAGACTGACAGTCATACTAACACCTTCAACATTTTTTATTATTACGTGTAATAATGATTTCTTCTCGGATCAAATCCGGTATGGACGCCTTCATCCCTACTCAGAAATACCAGAAACACCTCAATCCTCTCCATAGTTCACACCAGCTTTCTCGGCCGCTATAGCAGACACGAACTACTTCATTATTTCTACCCTTGTGTTCGTGTTGTTCTTCCTTGGTCCTAACCTGGACCATAACAATTATGGTGTCTCCAGACGCATTTTTGAGCTGATCCAATCTTTCATATCAAGTCGTGAAATGGAACTTATCCTGAACGGACACTCGTCTAGATCCTTTCGTACCATCGCGGATATCTCCCCCACTCCAGGGCTCTATCCTTAGTCTTACGCAGTCTTTAATTTTCATTAACGAATTTCCCGATGACATCAGATCTCAACTTGGCATCTACGCTGACGACACTACCATTTACTTCTGCCTCGATAGTAAGGCTGATCAGTCCGACAAGGTCAAAATGGTAGCCGATGTCTAAAACAACCTTAAGTCCGTCCTTAAATGGGGCAAAATGGGGCTTATTAACGCCTCCAAAACTAAGCTTCTCTCCACTAATCATCTGAGAGAGAGCTCTCTCTACCTTCTATCAGTATGGCTGATGCTAACCTCCAGGAAAGTGACTCATTGCGCCTTCTCAGGGTAACGTTGTCAGCTGACATTAAGTGGGAAGACCTATACTGAATCCATTGCTAGGTCAGCTGGTAAGAATGTTGGTTCACTGTATCGTGCTAGACAATTTTTCTCTCCAGAATCTATCTTATATATCTATGTTTACTTATCGTCCATGCTTAGAATATTACTATCATGTGTGGTCTGGTGCCCCTGCTATTTACCTTCATCTCTTCCAAAGAAGAATCAGCAATATTATTGATCCTGATCTGGCAGCTCGACTGCAGTCACTTTCCCGCCGCCGTAAGGTTGCCTTTGTGTGTCGTTTCTATAAATACGTTCATGGCAATTGTTCATATGATCGCTTCGCTATGGTACCTAGACTTTATGGATTTAAGCGCAATACTAGACTGGTGT